ACCACCTACCTGCCTACCTACCTACCTATTACCACCTACCTGCCTACCTACCTACCTACCTACCTACTTACCTACCTACCTACCTACCTACTTACCTACCTACCTACCTACTTACCTACCTACCTACTTACTACCTGCCTACCTACCTACCTACCTACCTGGCTACCTACCTACTTACCTACCTGCCTACCTACCTACCTACCTACCTACCTACCTACCTACCTACCTACCTACCTACCTACCTACCTACCTATTACCACCTACCTACCTATCTACTTACCTACCTACCTACCTACCTACCTACCTACCTACCTACCTACCTACCTACCTACTTACCTACCCGCTTCTGCCCCCCCGCAGCGATGGTAGCCTGGCGGTTACCGACCTACGAACCACTCGCCTCATGTCGTACGTCACCGTCTTCACGGCGCTGGGCCCGAGCGACAGCCCCTCCAGAAGGCCACCCGCGGTGCCGCTGCCACCTGCCGCTCGACCGGGCTCGGGACCCCTGCAGGTAGGTGCGCACATCTTCCCCCTTTCCTCTATCCCGCCGTGTACACATAACCGCCTTTCCGCTTTGGAACCATTTTTCCACCCCAACTCCCGTGTCCGTACCAACCACCAACCTACCAGTATCATCACCCAGTACCCACTACCCGTGGTAGCGTCCCGCTACCACAAGCATACAACGAATACCGCCTAACGGCTAACACCCGGCTCAGTTGTACTGCAACCACCACCACCGCAACCACCGATACCACTATGTCCATCGTCCATCGCCATTGCAAATTCCTGCCCTCCTAGGCATTGGCTGTATCCCCGGGAGCCGCTGCGTCCGTGGCCGCTGCCGCGTGGCGGGACCGCCTGGTGGTGTTCGCGACCCCCTGGGATGACCCGAGCTGCCTGCCCATCTCCTTCTACGACTGCCAACCGGTGAGTGTCACCCCCATCAGCTCACGTGATGTGGCGTACTCTCCCTTCGTCCCTTTCTCTCTTGGTTGCCCTGTCATGCCAATCTATGCGCCATGCTATAAGGAATGGAAAAACGAAAGAGGGAAAGCTACACTTGCCATATCTCGATTTTTTTAACCTTTCGGACTTTTGTATCGTCCCTGCTTTTCCGCTACCGGTTTCTCCGAAACCCTATTTTTCTCAATCCGTTCTTGCCCGGTGGACTACCTGTTTGGCTCGCCTCGTTCTTGCATGTCTGTGTGCACATGCACAGCCTGCTGTTCGAGGCAGCGCGGAGCAGCTCCGTTTCCGCCCCGGGCCTGAGGTTTCTGCGCTGGTGGCTTTCGTGGGTACCGCCACCAAGCTGGTGACCTTCTCCAGCCCGCTGCAGCCCGGTGTGGTGCTTGTGTTCGATTACCGACTGGGGGTGGTGGTTCGCAAGGTGTCAGTGCCACAGGTGGGGCCTGCGTGTGGGATGTGTATGTGTGTGTGTGTGTGTTGGTTGGTTGATTGGTTGGTTGGTTGCGTGTGCATGTGGGTGCAGGGCGTGTGTAGTGCGTGGGTGCCAACTCCCAATTGTTGCGCTAGTTTCAGTGCACAGGTGCGTCTTTTGGGGGTGGGGCTTGTATTAGGGTAAGTTGTAGGTCGCGCGCGTCGTTCTGTGTGTGTGCAGGCGGTGCGGGAGGAGACGCACATCTCGCACGTGCCATCGCTTTTACATCGTCATTACAGCTCCCCTTCCATGCTTTATTCGTTCCGTAATGCGTTCGGTCTCCATTCATTCTCCATTCTCCATTCACAAGTGGTGCCTTAGATTCCTGCGGACTAACTCATACCATTAATCTGCCGTGGGCCGTGTTGCTGCTGCGGCAGGTGATTCGTTCTATGGCGCTCTCGCCGGACGGCACGGCCCTGGTGATAGGAAGCGCCGAGCGGACGGTGTTCATGGTGAACCTAGCCAGCGGAAGCTTCGAGAGCCTGAGAGGGCACACCGGTTCGGTGGTGGCGGTGTCATTTTCTACGGAAGGCAGCCAGGCAGTGACGGCGGCAGGCTGTGTGCTCATGGTGTGGGACGCTGCCGAGGTGCTTAGAAAGCTTACGCCACCGCCACCGCCTCCGCCGCGGAAGACGCTGTTTGAATTGTAGAGCTCTTCTGAAATCTCTCTTAATAGGTGTCTTGTGGAGGTGTGCGGGCGCGTAGGATGGAACAGGGGGAGCGCAAGACAGGAATGAGCTGGTATATCGTTGGGTTGGCACTAAGGAGGGGTAAGGGAGGGAAGACGAGAGAGCAGCAAGTGCGTGGGAAGAGGGGAGAAGGTGGGTTTCGTATCTTGGGTGTTGCAAAACAACCTGGGACAGGTAACTTGGTTTCCTTCAGTGACCGCAGGGTGGACCTGAGAGCTTTGCCACTTTGCCGGTTTTTTTCTTCCTATGATATTGTGCTATGAGGAAGACTAATTCCGACGGATGCAGTCATTCCGACGGCCGCGCATTCGCGGATATTGAACGACACTCATGGTGAGGTAGTTGCCTGTCGCTCTTGAGGCTCCCGTAAGTTAACAAAGGTACCCTTTGTCAGCGATTTGTTTGCTACTAGCTCAGGTCACACAGAAGAAAATTGCATAGGAACAAAAGTAGTTGTCTTGTAGCATCTAGACAAATCGTTTAACGCAAAAATGTTCGGGGCCTTCCCGGGATTGCCCGGGTTCCCAGGTCAAACTTTCGAAGCAATGTATAGAGCAATGCCTGTGGCGTTTATCGATAAACAATCGGCTGAACACGGCGACAAGATCATAATGCCGCCCTCAGCTTTGGAACGGCTAGGTGGGCGTCAGTGCATTTTTTCAGCTCGGAATTAGTTTTCAATTGGATATGGGAGCTGACGGACACCCATTACCCACGCAGCTTCGCTGCATATTGAGTACCCGATGCTGTTTAAGGTGGAGGGCCTGCAGTCCAAGCGACATACGCATTGCGGTGTTTTGGAGTTCATCGCCGAGGAGGGTGTTGTTTACATGCCGCACTGGGTGAGGCAATCAGCATTGGTCCTCCAAGGCGCTGGGGCATGCCAACCGCTTTCCGACCCCACGGACTAGGTCAGCCCTTGCGACATGGCTACTGCCCCCTCCCTGTTCCCGCAACGCAGATGATGCAAAACCTTTTGTTACAAGTAGGGGATACGATTCGCGTGCGCAGCGCTTCCCTACCAAAGGGCACATACGTGAAGTTGCAGCCCGTGACGTCGGACTTCCTAGACATCACCAATCCAAAGGCAGTCTTGGAGCGGACCTTGAGAAGCTACAGCTGCCTCACAGTGGGCGACTGTTTTGTAGTAAACTACAACAACAAAAACTATGAGATAGAGGTGAAGGACGCAAAACCTGGGCCGGCGATCTCTGTCATTGAAACAGACTGTCAAGTGGACTTTGAGGCACCGAAGGATTACAAGGAGCCTGAGCGCGTCCCCCCGAAGGCTCCGGAACCAGCCCCGTCAGGTGTGTTTCACGTCCGTATCTGGGCGTCCGGGACAATGCTTATGGCATTAAGAGAAGGGAGAAGTGGGAGAGGGGGGATGTATATTTGACACTTTATGTAGTGAGTGTGTATGAGCCTATGACTGCGCATGCGTGAGTGCATGTTAGTGCTTAAGAGTTTGCGTCAGCGCGTATGAGTCTATGGGCGCATATGAGTCTAGGAGGTCGCTGCTGTTGCCCGCCTTGAGAGAGGGTGTGTGTATGTATGTAGGTGCCAGCTGCTTACCTCTCGAAGTTCGTTGCACCTGTTGTGTCTTTTGCGTGGTTGTGTTCGCGTCAAACCTTTCGTGATGTGATTTCTCCGCCTCCCCCAGCACACCAGCAGCTTAGAAGCCTTCTCCCTTGTCAGCGGCGGAAAGAATGATACAAAAAACTAGATACAAGCGACAGTTACAGCACCTAATCCTGAAAAACGCATAGATCCCCCAACGCATGCTAACACCAGGGCGGTGTCCGCCATACTGCCTTGTGCATATTGCGATATGGGTCGGCTCGAGCGCCCACAGCAGCGCCAGTGGCTGCTGATGGGAAGGCCGGAGGGACCGCAACAGGGCCGGCGCCAGCTCCCGAGCCCGAAGAGCCCAAGTTCCTGGCGTTTGCTGGCACTGGACGACGGTTAGACGGCAAGGCGGCAGGGCCCACCAATCCTGTCCCCGTGCCGCTGCGCATGCCGTCCAACACCACCCTCAGCGCGGGCACCAGTCCGAAAACGGGGAGTGGCCCCAGCGGCTCAGGTGCCGGGCCGTCGGGATCCGCTGCGCCAAGCGGCAGCGGTGGCGTGCAAAAGGCGGGGACGTTTGTGAACTTTGGGCCAACTGGCAACCGGCTGGAGGCGAAGCTGGCGGTGAGCATTTTTGGTTGGGTCGGGTCGGGTCGGGTCGGGTCAGGTTGGGTCAGGACGGCAGGGCCCAGTACCGGGTGCCAGCTGGCTTAGCTTGGCCTGGGCAGTGACATGTGGGTGGGGCTGATTTGGGTCGGCAGCTGGCCTTAGGCTACTACATCCTTAGGGAGGGAGGGGGGACGTTCCAGTGATTTGGATCGTATGTTCCAGTAGGGTCAGGGTCCTGGTTACTGTGCGATCTGGGTCGGGCTGGCATGTGGGGGGGATCGGCCCTGCGCGCGTAGTAGGGGTGCGTTAATCCTTGAAGCTTACGTGTTGCAATCGGCAATCGGCTGGTGTGCTGAGTGGAAAAGGGGGAAAGGGGGAAAGAGAGAGAGCGAGGGTAAGTGAGGGACCGAAGCGGACGGAGAGGGTGACCGGGGCTTGCATTGAGGTCATAAAGGATGATGCGGGTAGGGTGTTGGAATGGATTTTGCCTCTTTAGCCAGTACCGGGTAACGCGGGGGTTACCTTGCTGCATTCCAGAGGTTCTCGCGGCCTCCGATGCTGCTCCTCCCCTTTCGCACATCGTCTCATACGACGCCATGTCCCTTTTCGGACCTGCATCGTTACCAACACAGGCAAAACAGGGGGGTGGAGGGACGGCGAAGCCTCCTCCGCCACCGCCACAACCAACGGAGGAGAAGAAGGATGACTCCAGTAGCAACTTCAAGGCGTTTTCAGGGAAAGGCTACAGCCTTAAGGGGTAGCAGTAGCAGTAGCAATCGCAGTAGCGGAACTAAGAGCCGTAGTAGTCGAAGTAGTCTGTTCGGCTGGGGCGTTGGTGAATGGCCACAGCCGCGCTTTGCGGGAGTGGGTAGCGTCAGGTGGGTGCGTGATATGGTTGGGCGAGTGAATGAGCGAGGGCTTTCCGAGGACGGGCTCGACTTCCTTGCTGGTGCGCCTGCGATTCCCTCTCGCATCTCAGGCCCCGCCGCATGACGCGCACTTTATCATTGAGCCGCCTGCTCCCCTCCAGGGGGTGTGTTTCGCGGCGTGCGCTGCGGCCGAAGGAAGCGAGGTGCCTCGAGGCGAGAGAGAGAGACAGACAGAGAGTGCGGAGAGTTTTGTCCGGTCCTTTTGTTGCTGCTGCCTGTGACTGGACCGCCAATGGAGGGGCACGTTACGGACATGGACATACTTCCTGGGACATGTAAACCTGTTGCCAATTGGCACTACTACATGCCCGGAATGTTCTGGATCCTGCATCTGATGCAAGACGCGATGGCGGGTTTTGCCCGGCAGGGAGTTTTGGTGAGGGGGGGATGAGGCGACGCAGACGGGGCCCTATGCGTAGTAGCAGCATGTACCGCTTTGCTTTGACACCGTCCCCAAAGCAGGCTAAAGCTTGCAGGTGCGTGGTCATAGCTTGGCAGGGGGCCGCAACCGTACGGCGGTCGTGTACGACCGTCTTGGGACGAACGCCACGGCAACGGCAACGGCAAACGCAACGCTTGTATGCGTGGGTACCGCTGTGCAAATGGGGTAGTGGCGGCACGCTTGAGACAGGTAATGCTGCCGCGGTGGCGGTGGCGGCGGCGGCGGCAGTGCTGAGGCGAATTTTGATACCGCGGCGGAGCGGTCCAAGAAGGCAGGAAGGCCTCGCTGCTTGATTGGTAAGGACAGCTTCTTCCTCCTCGTACAGGCTAGAACCATAGCACCATGGTGGTCGCAGGAGGGCGTGAGTAAAGCAACTTCTTTAGGATATGAAACAACCATGCGTGTGCACCAGTTGGTTCGGAGGCCATGAAGCATCCGGCTTCTCGCCTCGGCCGTTTAAGGTTTTTTATGGCAGCTGAAGCGACAGCAACAATGAAGCATTGACTTTTTGGAATCGACCAGTGTCAGCTCGACAGTTGTTATCGCGTTGACCGTCTGTTTAGGTGCGCCAACGTAGAGCGGCCTTGAACCAGGTGGTAAGTGCTGACTTTGGCTACGGGTGAACTTAGTGGTTAAGTGGCTTTGGGTGCTTAGCGACGCCGAACAGTACTTCATTGCCCCACCGTTGGAAGCCCGGGTGCATGCGGGGAGCACCAAGAAAAAGCATTTCGGAAAACTGTGAGCGGTTATTAGGGGCTTTTGGCAGCATGGCCTTTTCAGAAGGAAGAAAGTTACTACAGAAAATGCACACCGTGACTGTATGGATTCCAAAAATGAGCACCGTCTTTCCGTGATCTGTACGGCACCAGAGGTTTTGATGGTTTCAGAGCCACGACCATTGCAAGCTTGCGTTACCTGCTTTGTTGTGATTGGATGCAATTACTACACGCTGTGTCAGTCGAAGATACGTTATGCAGGCTTTTCAGCGGCGCCCTGCAGGGGCGACCGCAGGAAAATGTGTGGCTCGGCGAATAGTGAAGCCAACCGTCTGCGCGGCTGCGCCTGGGAAATTTACAAACGGAGCAACTGAAGCCTACAACCGTATGAAAGGTGTGAAGGTGTACCGGTCCAGCGACGGTCAACTTGCGGACATCACTACGCTATGGGGCCCCAACGAGCGAGCTGTGGTCGCGTTCGCTCGCAGCTTTGGCTGACCTTTTTGCTGGTAAGAGATTTTTGGTGCAAGGTACTGAACCAAAGTAACAGAAGGGTTCTGTGCATGTTCCAGCTTGCTTAGCCACTCTTCTTTCCTTGCCACGACGTTTAGGGAGCTGGCGATCCAGCTCCGACGTGATGTGAAGCCACGGCTTGATAGTATGGGCATCAAGCTGTTCCTGGTTTCCATCGGAACGCATGCCCGGTCGAAGGACTTCGTTGCGGTGAGCTTTAATGTCGACAATTGATGAATAGGACACGGATGCATTTTGAAGTCGGCAACTACGGTATGCGTGATCTCCTCTTTGATACGTCTGCTGTCTGGTTACCAAGAGGTTATAGCGCAGCGCCCCATGGGCCAGCCGCTCCGGGTCCACGCTGAATATACGCACGCATTGAAAAGCCCATAGAGCATAAGGCTCCCCATCCTTCCCAAATCCCATTCAGCTTTCTTTACGCTCTTCCCGCAGGTCACCGACTTCCCCGCTGACTGCTTGTTTGCTGACCCGGACAACGCGCTGTACGACGCCCTCGGCCTGGTTAAGGGCGTGGGCGCCACCTTCTTCTCAGTGGACACGCCGTTTGCTATCAAGCGCCGCATGGACATGGGTCGAACCGGAGACCTGCAGGACGTGTTGAAGCGCTGGCAGCCGTGGATACCGCCCAAGAGCGACCAGGTAGGCTTGCGTGCCGCGCGGACACTCGCACGGCAAAACTCATGCGCATTTCTATTTTGGCGTGTGTGTGCTTGCGGGATGGGTTTACCTGGATGTGGTGCTAGACGGCCGAAAGTCCCAAGTCAGGCCCTGACACAGCTCCATGACCTTATTGTGACTTGGCGGGTCAGTTGGAAACGGCACAGGCGAATAGCGTTGGGACACGGCTGAAAGTCACAGTTGCCGCGATTGGACCTACGAATCAATATCGGGGGAAGCATTTTGATATGAGCAGCAGTAATTGAAGCAATCTTGTCAGTTTATAGCGTGCACCCTAAGACCCTCAAACTCTGCAACGCTATGCATAACCGAACGCCACCTATCCTCACATCACACCATAACATAAAACCCCCTGCCACTTCTCCCAAGAACACGAATGTGTTTTTAATTGATGTTGATGTTGATTCCTTGCAGGCCTTCCAGCAGGGCGGTCTGTTCATGTTCGAGGGCAACCGTACCGTTCTGACCCACTACGACAAGGCCACCGGAGATCATGCGGACTTGAATCAGCTGCTGGGCATAGCAGCCAAGTTGGCGACGACGCCGGAGAACTGCGACACAAGCTGCGAGTTGCCGTTGCCAGCGCCACCGTCGTCGTGACAGTCAAAGCAAACCGTCGTAACGCCGATGTAAAAAGGCCGGCCGTTGCCTTAATGTCGTCGTTGGTGCAGTAATGAACGAGAGAGTGTATCACGTACCCGTGGCCGTAGCCATGATACTGGCGTCTCGTTGGCTGAGGATGCCAAATCAAAATGGTGGCACGGGAACGATGTATGCTTTTTTCTTGCATTATTGGCTAGGGTTTTAGCCCTATAGTCGGGGTTAACTGAGTTGGCGGCTCCTGGGTAGTACTTACATGACGTCGCCCGTTCAAACATCGGCGCGGCCTCCGCAGCTTTTTGCCACGTTGCTGCTGACGTGTGTATACGGCATCCCGTGTGCCACAAAAGCTGCATCACGTGGCTGGAGGAGGGAGAGGAGCTTTGGGGAGCCGTTATATTGACCGGCGGGCGGGTGACTGACAGCCCATCCTAAGTATAACCCAGAGGAGGCCGCCAATTCATCGACCCACAGACCCGCGGCGATACCGAGTGAATACCGCGTTCGGTGGTGAGCAAAGAGGGCTTGTGCGAGCAACAGGCAGGACTTTGGCGACCGCCGTGTAAAGATGGCATGCGATACGCTGGGTCAACGTAGGATTTCCTTTTGCAGTTCATGCAGTAAAAGTTTATCTTCACCGCCACAGGTCATTAGCTGGATAGATAGATAACCTTGATTAGGCACAGCGAAATTGATATAATACTTGATTGTAGCGATGGAATTCCGCCTCATGCGTTGACGTACGTTCGATTTTTCCCTCGCATTTCATCCACATGCGTAGCAAAGGAGCCTGTAAGTAATCTTCACTTGCTACCAGAAATTACCAAAAAAATAATGAGAAATGTAATCCACCGACTTCGCATGTGCGCCTTCATGGGGCTCAGCAGCGCATTAAAAGCAAGTAGACAGCAATTTCCCACCTCCACACATGCACATGCAATGTATGCGAACTAGAGCAGACGTCATTCATTTTACTGCTCTCCTGTGCAGTAGGGTACACACCGGTGAGAGCTTGTTAATCAGTTCTCACAGCCTCCGCTGCCCGATACCCACCATGCTCCTCTCTAACCCCCGCAACTCCATCCCTTCAGGAACGGGTACTTCCTCCCCTTCCACCACACCGCCAGTTGAACTGAAGGGGCCTCTGTGGCCCTGGAGATACAATTCTCCATCCTCCATTCCCCAATCCTTTTCCCCAACCTTCCATTCCGCACAATCTACAAGGCCACGCCAGCTACTAGGATCTATAACCTCTTACTGGCCATGGGTGAAGGGGATTGCATGAAGCCACACCAATGGCCCGATTCGTTAAGATCCAAGCCGTCTATACACCGCTGTTCCTCTCCCTACCCCACGGCCGGGCAGCATCCTGCCTCTTCCAATTGATCGGTCACTCAATAAGTCGCCTGGCCAGATTCCCCTCCAAGCATTTAATCGTACTGAATACACTTTCAGTTACCAGCGCTGACCTGATCTGAACCAACTGCCAACCGTCAACCGTCACCTTTGGATCCCTTTATCCTACCCTGCCTGATTGGGACTTGAGCGATAGCTGCTGCCAGCCCAATGGTGGTTTGCTCTGATAACGCCATCACCCTCACAAGATTGCTGCGCAGCTGTTAAAACCGCATCGCCCGGTGGTGCTACAACCCTGCTGACGTCAGGAACCTAGTATGGTAGTACACCGTACAATGAGAGAACAAAAGCCCTTGTGACGATGTGGCGAAGAAATATGAAAGGAAACGGCCACGAAGAGAAGTTGCCTTTTGCTTTTCACCTGCTGGCTAGTGGTTACCTTACACAACCCACGGGTCGTTCCTAACTCCCGGTTATCTGGGGACTTGGTAACCATCGCAGCGGCGCGTCCACATCTTCGGGCGGTACCTCCGCCGCGTCGTCGTCGTCACCCCCACCGTCCCCCAGCGCCAGCGGCCGTGTGTGGATAACGTCATGGCCACCGCCACCGCCGTACAGATTTCCACCACCATACCCGTCATTATTACCGTGCTGAAACTGATTCAACCTTAAAAGAAGAGCTTGTCCCGGGGGTGTGGTCATCGTCCCGTCATTGACGATCCCGGTCCCTGCGGCCGTGGCGGCGGCGGACGTACGGCTGATTGGCTCTCCGCTCAGCTCCACAGCCATCGGCGCCGGTATCGCCCCTGAACTAAGGCCCCCGGTGGCGCTGGTGGTGCTCATGTGTCGGCTCCGCAACATCCAAGGCCCCGCGGGAGGAGGGGCCGTGGTGGAGGCAGCGGGGGCAAGGCTGCTGGCGCGCAGCGGCTGCGACGGCTTCATTGCGCTACCAACGGTTGCTGCCACCACGGCTGACCGGCTGACAGGCAATTGCACAGCCGCAGAAGGTCGCCACGCCGCCGCCACAGCTACCGGCGTCATCCCGGCGTTGTCGGCGCCAAGATCTTCCAGCGTGAACACCTCGTCAACTCCCAGGTCGTCATCTTGTTGTTGGGCCTTATGCCGGCTGGTTAAGTACGGCGATAAAGCGAGCGACCCCGGGGTCGCAGGGCCTTTGCCTGGCGGCCATCCTCGCTCTACTTCATTGTCAGTATCGCCGGCGGCGGCGCCGCCACTGGCGGCAGTGGACGGCCCCCGGAAGCGACCCAGAGAGTTGAGTGTGCGGTAGCGCTCCGCCGCGGCAGCGGCGCTGGCCGACTCCTCGATGTAGCGTCTGCCGTACAGCAGCCGGCGGCTAGCTTCCATGACGGCGGCGCAGAAGCGGTTCCAAGGAATGTCGTCAGTGCTTGCCGGCGGCATTGCGTGACTTCGGCGGTGGCTGCCCATGTTTGGTGTGTACGGCTGGCCGGTGAAGATGGGCTCGTATGACGTGAGATTCTGCATGTGGTTGCGATTGCAGAGGCGGTTGGAGTGGCGGCCGGGTTCCCGGTCATGGATTCGCGATGCGCGGGGCGCGGGCCAAGACATACCATTCGGGGTAACACCGCGTTCGCAACGATAGCTTGAACCGATAATGGGTGAACATATTCGACATCCTCGCAGGTACTTTAGGGTTTTAGGGTTCAGGGTTTTATTGAAAAAACAAGGCGGAAATTAGGGTACAAGGACACACACCCCTTGCAATTCGCGGGTCGCCCGCCACGGCTATTGCTATGTGTGGCGTTGTCACACATCAGCGGCATACCTAGCGCCCCTGCAGCGCTAATTCCCAAGCCATCGCATAGACACGACCTGCATAACCCTTGATGTGGTTTGCTGCCTTTCCGTATGCCTAACCGTACAACTGAAGTACCGTACATAAAGCGCATAATGTTCGTACCCGGATTCGAAGGTTGTGCAGGTCCGGCAAAAGGCCGCAGCACCACAGTACGATGCCTGTCGTACAGCCCGCCAGCAGCAAACAACCAATGACGATTAGCGCCACGAGCGGCCCGTGGGACTGCTTGCCACCTCCTTCGCCTGCGCCTTGGGCTGCGAACTGCCGTGGATCGTCTCCCTCGTCGTACGTCACGTTGCAGGGCAGCAGCGGACAGCACATAACGCTAGTTCTTAGAGGACAACACTGCTCTTTACGACAGAAACCCAGATGTTCCGGGCAGTGCTGCAAATCCAGACAAATCTGTGGGAACGAACGAGGGGAGACGCGGGGGTGAAAAGACGAACCACGTGAACGAGTGAAGCTGCTGCCAAGGAAGGAGAGTACAAGAAGCAGAACTGACCAGGGAGGGGAGGGGAGGGAGGGGTCACAACGGGTAAGAGAGGCGAAGAGGTGGATACGGGAATGAGGCACGCAACTGTTCGGGTGGATGAGAAAAAGTGAGACCTTGAAGCCGTGATGCCTACCTCGGAGTTGATCGCCTCGTATCCCGCCTCACACCCCCCCACACTGCAATTGGTCCAGGGGCATGTGCCGCTGGAGTCCACCGCCTGCGTGGCATTCCCGAGCTGAGGGGGAAGCGGCCCGCGGGGGTGATTTGGGGGTTGGGAGAGGGGGAGAGAGAAGAGGGGGAGATGCGAAGAGGGTCCTCATGGAGGGTGCGACATTCGGCCTAGCATTCCACACCACACCACACACCATATCCCGATAAAACCACACTACATCATATCCCATCATTCATTATCATTATCACTGGCATATCACGACAGAGATCCCCCACAACCCCCTGCCTGCTTGCGTGGTGCTTGGTACTATCCCCGCCTTGGTACTATCCCCGCCTTGGTACTATCCCCGCCTTCCTCCCTGTCCTCCTCCCTTCCCCCTTTCTTTTAGGTTCCCGTTTAGCTCCGGTTGCGTCCCGGCCTATTCACCTCCCCGACCTGCTCCGCCGTTGTTCTGTTTCCCCGTCCTTGCTCTATCGCTTTCAGCAGCAGTAAGCGCTTCCCAAGTCCACTGCACTGCCAAGTATCCCAAAGGCAGCATCGAAGCCGCCAAATCCACAGCGCGTCTTTGCCCTTTATAGCGTGTCGTTAATTGTGCGCCCCTCTTCTCCCCCCCCCGGTGGCCCTCACCTGTACGGCACCCAGTGGACAGCTGTCCCATTCCGTTTTGCAATCTTTGGCGGAGCGACATTGGTGGTCGGCTTCACCGCACGGACTTCCCGCACAGTCAGGGTGGGGAGTTAGCGTGATGGTCAGACAGGGCTGGCGACAACAAAAGGGAGGGATGGGGAAAGGTGTAAGAGCCTCGGGAATTTATTGCGGTAGTAAGTAGCTCAAGTAATGGGGGTACGTTTGAGAGCATGGACGCAATGTGGGTGTGTGGGATGCTGGGCGCTGGACGTAAAACGCGTGCGGGCTTTGGATGGGGGATGTCAAGAAGGTGTGGGTATACGTAGAGATCTGGGAAAGAAAATGGATGTTGGTTTTGCTACAGAGGGCTCTCATGCTGTTTGTGGGAATGGTTGGTTGGTGTGAGAAAAAGGGGAAGGAGACAGGCCGGGGGGTTCATCAAGTAGTTTAAGTGACCTGGCACGGAAAAGAGTGATGGGCATCGTGTGGTATGGTTGCACAATGAAAGTAAGCAAGGTTGGTTAAGCTGAAATTGCGGGAAGGAATACATAGCGTCGCGGACGCGTTGGGAAGATGGGCGCCAACAAACCCTACCTGCGCGATCACCAGCGCCAAGAATGCAGCCAAGGTTCCAGAAGAAAAACACAATCCAGGATTTCGCCCTACTCCTCCACCGTGATGTAGACAGCGGTGCATACTCGGGGATCCTGAGGTGCCTGCTTGCAGCTCTTTCAATTATATTCCCAAACAACGCACTTGAGAAATCCTTTAAAATTTCATTGTGAAAGGTTAACGAATTTAATGCTGTAAGGCAAGCTCAGGTGTGACGCGTTTCCGAAAGGAGGATGTGAATTGCAAGCAAAGGAAAAGAGATCAAACAAATGCAAATACTCTCATGACTGACATGTTTTATTTACTCGTGCAACTGTTCCGTTGAAGTGCAGCAGGAAAGGTCGGTTACGTTTCCGGTGCCATAACATCCTAGCGGTAACGGAATTATGCAGCGCAACCCGCCAACAAATGCGGTAGCACGCACGATATTCACTGATACTACAAGCATATGTAACCAGTATCAAAGTGTGATGCCGCACTAATTGCAGTGTTGCATCCTGCGGCGCAGGACCCTTGGACCCTCAACCCTGACTTCTTGGCGTCTTGCAAGCACCTAAGCAATCTGTACAGACTCGTTATGTGGGCATTATCCTTATCAGAATTGGGGCCTAGACCCTGTTCCTTTAGGCGCACAGCACCGCAACCTGAGAGACACGCTCGGCCGCATACAGTAACAACTTCACCACATGTGAACTCCCTAGTTCGAAACAAAAGAAACGCTATTCAAATATCAGAAGCTTTTCACAGCAGGTGCTTGGCGAGCCGCTTCACCCCCCGTCCACTTTTGGCCTGCGCTTCCGCCGCCGGGCCCTCCTGCGTAGAAGCGCTAGCAGAGGCCAGCGGCTCCGGAGCCGCCGATCCTCGCGCAGCTCGGCTCAAGGCCTGGGTTCTGGAGCACAGTAAAACATTGCCGACGCAGCTGACACCCGTGCAGCGAAGCGAGTAAGTGTTTTTGACTTCGCCACCGCGAGGATCCTTTTGCAGCCTGTGCTGAATGTCATGGGTACTCGTCCTCCGCCTACCTCACCCCTTTTCACCACATGCACGCTCCCTCCTCGTCACCAGTTCGTTCCACCGTTAACATTTCATGGCCCATGCAGGTGCTCCTCCGCGCGCTTATTTCCCCCCTCGTAACCACCCACTGCTTCACCCCTTTCATGCGTTTCCCCTCCCATCCAACCGCCTCAGTGGCTCGTACTCTCTCGTCGCGGACGAGCCCGTACGCCGCGGCCAGATTCTCGTACGCGTTCCTCGCCGGCTGCTGATGAGCCAGGACACGGCACGCGCCAGCGAGGCATGTGGTCGTACAGTACGGGAGGCGGGTTTGAACGAGTGGCAGTCCCTCATTTTGCACCTGCTGTGTGAAAGGGCTTTGGGTTCTCGAAGCTTCTGGGCTCCCTACCTGGACACTCTGCCCCAAGATATGGTGGGTGAGCGCTGCGAGTTAATGGTGGATAGTTCGATGATGGGTAGTTTGGCTATGGTTGGTAAACAGGTGGTTGGAGTAGGTTGGCATGGTTATACGAGCGGTTGGGTTCAGATTAGAAAGTGAGAGAATTTCATTTCAACCGTGATTGGTTATTTTTGAGTTGGTTGGCAGCAGTTGGTGGATTTGGATCCGGTTGATAAAGAGTGGATTTACTTTACTATTTACTTGCTATGCTAGCGCAAGCATGGAGCCTAAGGGTACGCCTCCCCAGCGTCCGACCCTCCTTCCCTCCCAACAGTATTTTCTCTTCGCCTCGGCTCCGAAACCCGCTTGCTCGTAGTGCAAACTACCATGTCCTTCTTACACAATCAATTCTCTCTTTCTCGCACTCACGTATATTTTACTTTTGCATCTTTTGCATCTTCGCAACTAATGTCCCTTCAAATCCATCCCCCTTCCCGCCCACAACCGCCCATTTCCTTGGCCTTCCCCTTCCCCCTTCTCCCCCCCCAGTCGTTCCACCCCCTGTTGTGGGGCCCCGACCGCCTGACCTGGCTGAGGGGCTCCCCGCTGACCGCCACCCTGGAGCAGCGCCAGTCCCAGGTGCTGGAGGACACGGAGGCGCTGCTGGTGGCCGGGGCCAACGATCTGGCGGTAGCGGCTGAGCACCGTATGAACACGGGGGTGAGTCAGGCAGGCAGGGAGGGGGTGAGGCAGGTGATTTAAGCGATGTGGGATGTGGGGTTTTTGGACGCACGTTTTGTGGGGCCGGGGGGGGGGGGAGGAAGTGGGGGGCAGGGGGGCTACTTCCGATGCCCAACCAATTCACCCAACCACGCACACGCTACCAGCAATGTACCACTGTGTGTTTACTACCGTATAATTCTTGCACGCAATCATTCCCTTTTCCCCCGCATCCTTCCCCGTGATGCCCATATCTCCCCCATTCTCCCCACTCCTTCTCTCCACATCCTCCCTCCTCCCAAAACAAATTCCTCACCGGCCACACCGGCGCTCAGTCCGAGTTGGTGACGTCTGCCTCTGTGGGTTGGGCAGCTGCTGTGTTGCTGTCTCGGTGCTTCCGTTTGGATCTGGACGAGGAGGAGCCGCTGGCGGGGGACATGGGGTACTGGGGCACCTGGGGGGGCCATTGCGAGGAGGTGCTGGTGCTGGTGCCCTGGGCGGACTGCCTGGGACACTGCAGTGAGGCGGGTGAGGAGGGGGAGGGAGGAGGGGGAGAGAGGGGGGAGGGAGTGAGAGGGTCGGAGGGGAAGAGGGGGGAGGGGAAGAGGGGGGAGGGAGGGAGAGAAAGGGGAGGGAGAGGGGAGGAGGAAGAGAGATAGAGGAATGGGAGAAGGGAGAATGGGACCACAATTCCGATCTCACGTATTGGAGGAAAGGAAGCCTTGGCGCAGCCTCCGTTTCCCTTTCTCAACTTACATACATACGGACTATTCGCAGCCCCTGCTTACCTGGCCTAACTCTCCGACTAGAGCCGCGCGTGCTTCTTTTATTCAATGCAGTTCCACACCCATGCCGACTCCACGTGTACTGCAGCCGTACATACGAACCACCTTTGATGTGCTCTTTTCCCTTTGAATCCTCCTAAACCCTAAAACCCACCGACTCTCACCAGCACGATCCGCACGTACGTACATACATACGTGCGCCACCCAAACCACATTGCATCACGCCCCTCCGTTACCTCTCGCCTCTGTGGCTCGTCGTACCCCTCCTGCCGTACCCCTCCTGCCGTACCCCGCCGCGCCCAGGTCCCGAGTCTTGTGCCCGGTACCAGAGCGAGCTGGGTGAGGTGACTCTGTCCGCGCACAGGAGCTACCGGGTGGGGGAGCGGGTGGCGGACTCGCACGGTCCACACCTCTCGCCAGTGGATTTGTTTCTGGACTTTGGAATGGAGGAACAACCACCACAACCACAACCACCACAACCACAACCACCACAACAAACAACAGTACAACCACAACCGCCGCAAGCGTTTGTGTCGAATTCCTTTTCCTCGTCGTCGTCAAGTGGGGCGACAACGGGCCCGACGACAACACACCATCCACCTGCGCTGTCGCAGCAAGAGGCTCAGACCGCTGAGCCACATCCGTCACAGGCGCCTGTGGGTGTATCGGAAGCTGTGGTGGTGGCGGAGGCAGGAGAGGCGGGGGTTGGGGATAGAGCACCGTCGGTAGTTCACGGTCACCACCAACATGAGGGGCAGCAGCAGCTGCAGCCGCAGCACGAGGGCGCCACTGGTTCCGGATCCGAATCCGAATCTGGATCCAGATCCGGATCCAGTTCCTCGTTGGGTTGGGGCTGGTGGCAGCGACACCGCTTCGACGCGGACCCGGGAGAAGTGGGTGAGTTGTGTGTGTGTGTGGTGGTGGTGGGGGAGCGGATCTGAGTGCTGGCCGCGAGTGGCGGTACGTGTTGTTGGTTCGTGTGTTTTACACCTAGGGTGGGGCTTACGAGGGAAGGTTATACTGGAGAAAGGGCGGGAGAAAGGCTGGAGGAGAGTGGGATCGTGGGTCATCTGGATCGATCTCGGTACCTGTCCCGGTGATCTGGTGGTGTTGAGACCGAGTAGACTGTGAACTGTTCCCTTGGCATCATCATCATCATCATCATCATCACGTACCACGTATCACGGTGGTTTCGGAGCCTACTGGTTATTAGGGTGTTGATGACCTGCACGGGGCTTCCTCATGTGGTACTAGGGTCCGATGTCTCCTCCACTCCTTCTTTGCTCCCTCACACCTTCCTCCGCTCCTTCCTTCGCAGCTAGCAATCCAGCTGGCCGCTATCTACATCATGATGTAAGAAACCCTCATTGCCCCTCTTACCCCTACCTCCAATACCCCGGGAGGGCCCCTCTCTATCTGTGTGTGTATGTGTGTGTGTTTTACCCCCTCTCCCTCCCCTCCCCGCCAAACCTCCCAACCTTCTCCTCCTTCTTCACGTCCACCCGTACACATCCCCTCCCCGCCTCGACCCACCGTCCGTCCCCCGGCCCCTCCGCAGCGGCCCCCCGCAGCGCCCGCAACAAGGCGCTGTTGTCCGCCTTGGCCGCGGTACAGGGCGAGGGCTGTCGCCTAGCGCTGGGGGAGGAGGGTCCGGACACCGCCTCGCTGACCTACCTACGGGCGGCTCTGGCACCGGACGTGGAGCTGGTGAGAGCCGGTGAGACGAGAGACGTGAGAGAGAGAGAGAGAGAGAGAGGGGGCTGATTTAATGATGATGATGATGATGATGATGATAACCTCTCTTTCGGAGCTGCGGTGATGCGGGGACTGTGCCGGTTTGGTGGTACACGAGAATAACTTCATATACCGAAGCGATCTCCAGTGTGTCAAGCGTGTCCGTGTGTATGTATACATACATATATAGATGTATGTATACGCGATATATGTATATGTATATATGTATATGTATATATGTATACATATGTACATACATATGTGAATGTGTAGATATGTAGTTTAGTGTGCGAGCGTCCGTCTGTATGTATTTCCGTCCACATTGCCTTGCCCGTTTCCCGCCAGCACCGCCACACCCGCGTCATCCCCCCCCCAGGTTGGCGGCTCAAGGCCACTGATCGAGATGTGGAGCTGGCATGTCGGGTGATGGGCTCCCTGGCACTGCCCTCCAGCGCCGCGACGGAGGGAGCGCTGCTGGCGGCACTGGGGGCTTACGTGGAGGCGGCGTTGGCGCGGTTCCCGACTTCCCTGGAGCAGGACCTGGCGAGATTGGAGGGCAGGGAGGGCGTGGAGAGGGTCGTTGGGTAAGAGGAGGGCGGAGAAAGGGAGGAGAGGGGAGGGGAAGGGAGAGGGAAGGGAGGGGGAAGGGAGGGGGAAGGGAGGGGAGGAGAGGGGAGGGGAAGGGAGGGGGAAGGGAGGGGAAGGGAGGAGAGGGGAGAGGAAGGGGCTCGAGGAGGCCCCCAGGGAAAATGAGCCGTTTCTCAAACCGCTATAACCCCAAGTATGGCAGTTAAGAGGCGGGCGGTCATTGCGGATCAATCATACACGGCTGATTGGATCTGCAGGGCCAGAGCGACTGGCTTTGAATGGAAGTCCCAAAACCCTTCCTGGCCCTTCCCCCCTCCCCCCTCCCCCCCTCCCCCCTTCCCCCTTCCCCCCTCCCCCCCTCAGCCCCGAGCGGCTAGCACTGGTGGCACTGGCCTCCCAGAAGAAGGCCCTACTGGGCACCGCCAAGGCAGTGGCGTCCTGGAGGGCAAAACTGGCGGCGGGTTGCCCTGTGGGGGAGCTGTACGACGATGAGTACGACGAGACGTACGACGATGAGTACTGGGCGGAGGACGGGGACGGGGAGGCGGATTAGAGGTAGTGAGTGACGATTTGAATGGAGCGCGTTGTACGAATTGTGTTGTTACATACATATTTGTAGCACAGTACTACAAACACTAACACAGCAGGAGGTACATACAAGTACCTGGACTAATCTCTGTTCTGGGGTGCGGCTGTTTCCATGATTTGTGTGTGTGTGTGTGTGTGTGTGTGTGTGTGTGTGTGTGTGTGTGTGTGTGTGTGTGTGTGTGTGTGTGTGTGTGTGTAGTCGTCGCTGGCACCGTGTATAGTAGGGGTAGGTGTTCACCGATACATAGCCGGGTATGTTGTCAGACGTTGGTGGGTTGTCAGCCCGAGGGGCCCCAAACCCGTCTCACGTAGGGTTTTACAGCTTACTACTAGCTGCTGCAACTAGCTGTATGTGCACCTGATGCCTGAGTGGGCTTTTGCTTTCCGCGTGGTTCGCAATGTGGACTCCTAGCTATAGGTCGCAGGGCTTGATGGCGCGCTGCGGTGCTGCGTGTGGCGATTAGGTAGATGGCAAAATGGTGGCGACTGTACCTTGGGAGGGGTTTGGGGGGCTAGAGATGTGTAAGCAAAAAAAATGGTGGGTGAAATGAAAAGGCAGAACAGTGCTTGGTATTGGAAAGGATCACTGCTCGTTCTCAAACACCTGTGTTGAACACATTGAGCAGGATGGAGCTCCACAGCACTCAAGCAGACGTTTCATAAACGGATCCCCGCCGTACAGTACGGCACACAGTTGGTTATAAATGTGCGCAACGGCGCTCTGCTAGGATCTTGAGAGGTTGAGGATGCCTTTCCACGGGGGCCAGCTGCCACAATTGGTCTCGATACCTGTAACGACACAAGGCCCATCTGAGCATCCCGGGTTACGCCTTTGCTGTGTTACAATTCCACATCATGCTGGGTATGTCAGATGTGGGTTGGGTCGAGTTTGGCGCGGCCTGATCTCAGCGCTGAAGGCAATACGAGAAAAAACGGTACGTCACGTCCGGATACGGTACCCGTGGAATGCAAAGAGGCAAATGGCGGACGTTGTACGGCAGCTGATGTCGTTGGTTGTCCGTATCCGTGCAGGATTACTGACTTTGGAAGCTTGCTATAGATGACGCAGAAAGACGTGTAGGTGGCTTCATACCATCATACTGCATCAGCAGCAAGGCGTGAGCACACGGCAGGGCAAGGAAGCGCGCACGCGAGGCGGCGGAGGGCTGTGCAGCACTCGCACCCACGAAAGCTGGTCTAAAGCAGCACTCCCCCTCAGGAGGTCAGTTCACTGCCCAGGCCCGAGCATCCCGGCAGGGAAACCACGCCAAAGGGCTCCACACGCCGAACTGCCCGCAGGTCCTGCACCGACACCTGCAGGTCCTGCACCAGCAGAAAAGCCTCAAGAGTCAGCTGCCTGAAAGCTACCCTGAGCCTCAAAACACCATGAGCCGCACAGCCACACAACAATTACCTCTTCCGCTTGCCATTAGCTCAAGGTACCTAGGCGCCTCGCTCCGGTCGCTCTCGTTCCCTCCAACTTTGAACTGCTTGTTAGCACCTCAGGCTCTTCCTAGAGGCGGCTGAGCTCTCGCCCACATGGGCAGAGTGCTCAGCCACTTCTTCACCAGCCTCTCCGCATCCTTCTCCTCGGCGTCCTAGGATCCCTAAAAGCTCTCAAGGTACTGACGGGGTTGTGGTGAGGATTCCCTAACCAGTGTGGCCATTCCCTTGTGTGTCTGTGTGTGTGTCTGTGTGTGTGTCTGTGTGTGTGTCTGTGTGTGTGTGTCTGTGTGTGTGTGTGTGTGTCTGTGTGTGTCTGTGTGTGTCTGTGTGTGTCTGTGTGTGTCTGTGTCTGTGTCTGTGTCTGCGTCTGTGTCTGTGTCTGTGTCTGTGTCTGTGTCTGTGTGTGTGTCTGTGTCTGTGTGTGTGTCTGTGTCTGTGTCTGTGTCTGTGTGTGTGTGTGTGTGTGTGTGTGTCTGTGTCTGTGTGTCTGTCTGTGTGTGTCTCTGACTATGTGTGCTGCTACACGAGGGTTCCTCAGAGCCCTTATCCCACGTCGCATCGCCGTACATACATCACACACAATGCAATTACTGCTTACATGATCAGTTGTGTCTGCCATTTTAGCCTGCTGTTGATGCAATACACGCCACGCCAGTCCAACCACCGATCGGGCTTCTGCTACCTACTCATCAACTGCTAAGATGGTTGTACGGAGTACGGACTCCTTTTGTCTCTCGCCCCTGGACCTATAACACTCGCATCCTGTATCTATGTAAGTACCATTGCAGCCACAGCAGCCGTACACGGAGCAACAGCAGTCCTTCTTGTACATATGGGCGCTCACGTAGCACGTCGTGCCACGGTCTTCCCAGCCCAGATCGCAGTCACGATAGCACCGTTTCTGATCGTCCTCGCTCGTAGACTCAATAAGGCTGTAGGTGGGGGGGCAGACACGAGAGTAGCACCACGGCCCATCGGCTGGGATCCGGTCGTAGCCAGCAGGACAGCCGCCTGCGCCATTTGGGCACACATTAAGAAACCAACGTAACACACATGCAGGCCTTAATGCTATAGTTTAAGGCATTTAAAGGGTTTTATGTACAGGAGGTTTGTATACAGGCAGCGTTTGCGGCAAAGGAGCAACAACACCGTTCACCCTACATGCGACGTACTTCCGTACGTGAGCGAGTAGGCAGGTACGAACACGTACATACGATACATACCTTCAATAACGGTGTCATTACTGTTGTTATCGGCTCCAAGGGTGAGCCTGTTGTCCGGGCCATCACAAAGAGACCTCAAGAACCCCCAAAGTGGCATTCCAAAAGCGTCTACACAGGCGCATACATCTCGGCGTGATGCACAAGCGAATAAAAGGGAGGGCTGGCCTCTTCTGTAAGCCTGGTAGGCTGCAGCCCCGCATCGCCCCACGAACATGGCGCAGTTTACAGTATCTGTAGATATCACACCGCCTTTGAGCGGCTCGGAGGAGTTTTGTTGCTGCGCTGCCGCAGCCAACTTTTCTGCAGCGTTCCGATGGGGATTATGCATTACTATTGTCGTGGTCGTGGTAATAGTAGTGATGCCAGCTTCCTGCTGTTCGTGTACAACCGTGGCGCCAGCAGCGCCTGCAGCACCTGCACGCAAACATGCGGCTGCCGGTGTGTTGTTGTTGGTCGGTCAACAACATCCTCAAATATACGAAGATACATACGTATCTCAGTTCGGCTTCACACATACAGCGGGCGCACAAGTAGTTTATTATCGGCTAGCTGCTGGTCCTATGCTGCTAGATCGCTCAATGCAATCGACTCGCCGTTGAGATTTATAGTTCGCTCCATGCAGACTCTTATTCCCAGTAATAAGGAATAAAAAGTAAATTACCTGGAGGAGTCAAAATGACGCTCATGGCAATGGCGCAGAGCGCCAGCGGGAAGCTGATAATGTCTCGAGACCGGCCCATCGATATGGATTTCGCGGTTGATGCGAAACAAATAAAGGAATAGAGAATGCCGCCACGTGAAAGCACTTCTTGTGCGCAACGGCGGGAACGGGCAGTGGCATGCAGTAATGGCATTAATGCGCGAAGGTCCAATGAATGTCATTATATTTGTACGGTACGACAGGCTTTGGTTCCGCCAACCTTCGGGTGGCGGGCGGCATTTTTGTCGGACTGGAATCGTTCATGTGACCCACAATCAGCTGATCGAACAGCGCGCGTCCTAACTAACTAACACACGCAAAGGATCGACAAGCTTGACATCCTATACATGGAGCCATTCCGTGGTAGTCGCTTGACAGTAGCATGGTGAACGGGAGCCTGCTACAAGTACCTAAAAAAAGCCGCGTAAGCAGGAAGGTGGTAGTTCGCGGGACGTTCGTACCCGCGCCGAAAGCTCTTCAGCTCGTTTGCTGTGAATGCTGCTGACAAAACTCGCATCTATTGTATGAATATGGAATGTGAACTATGCCCGCCATGTATCCATGCACGTATGAGAAGAAATTGTATGTAAGAGAAAAAAGAAACGGGGTGAAGTTCAAGTGGAAGTCGGGCGGCAAAAGCTCACAAAGCTAAAATCATATACGCAAATGGGATCGCGCCTGCACTGCACTGCTGCTGTCGGTTATTATAATCAACTCGCGGATCAATAGTAGCAGGATTTAAGGAATCAGCAGAAACGTTAACTGACACTGATAGATCACAAGGATTACTGAATATTCGGCTGAAATAAGAAATCTACTAGAAATACTGAATATTTGGTGAAGTAATATTCAGGAAAAGTAAGACATGTGATAGATGGCAATAACAAGATTCCAACGTCAGTTAAAATGTGTCCCGGAAATGAACCTTACGGCATTTTCTTAAATGTCTTCTGGATCAGGACAAGCGTTTGTGGAAAGGCATTTCAGTCGGCAGCGGCGGCTGCTAGCTACGTGCCCTGTGGTTTCCGGGTAAACAGTTTTTGAGCGACATATCCAGACCCATTATTCAAACAAACTAGGAAACATCTGCAAGTATCATCAGTAGCAGAATCCACGCACACGCGCACCGACACCCACACCCCGGCTGCGCGTGCCTAAGCCTGCATAAGCCTTCATCACCATAATGACAGCATCAAAGCTCGGTTACCGCTGACGACTAGCTGGCTTAAGGAGATGTAAACTTTTGAGCTGCTCTGTGCCATACGCAATATACGAGCAGCTTAGGGCGATGGTCGCGTCGACAGCACTGATGGCCGTGCCCCATACCACGCAGTCTCACCGGCGGCCCGTCACGATAAGTCTGTCTAGTACTATGCTCGTGCACGATACAGCATCTCTTCCATTTTTCCATTAAGCGGACGAGGGAGAATGAAGATGACCTCCCGCGTACCCGCATCAATACCAATACAACGTCCATGGACCCCCGGCTTTTACGGACACGCCCGCACTTGTGTGCGGAACTTGTAACTTGTAACTTTTACGATGAGGACGGCAGGCAGCAGAGTATCCTGGCCTCGGACAGAGAGCATATCACCACCCAACCAGAAAATGCAGTTGCCTGGACTGCAAAGCGGCTTTCTTTCATTTCCCATTCCGCCTTCAGAGACACGTGCTCTAAAAAAAGCACTTGTATCCAACGTGAATCCCCCCTACCCCTCATCACGGCAACTAAGTGAAACAGCCAGCAGCGACATGCATGGCCCCAAACACATATGTACAAGCTCGAGGACGCCCAATCAAGGGGCTCTGAGCGGTACTGCGCCACTCCAGGCTAGGGCTACCAACGGAGATCCGTAGTCATCCTACTGTACTTAGGTTGGTCCGTAATGGTCGGGCTATGTCGCCTTATAACGGCAGTGGTGCGTATTTGACTTGGGGTTGATCGGTACGGCAGTGTCGGTTGCACTCTGTACAAAGCACCACCGTGTGCAGGCAAGGAGGTGGCTCGGTCCCAAGCTAGTTATTTCGTCAGCAGCTACCCGGTGCAGACCTGACTTGTAACAGTCTTCACAACGCAATTTGCGTAGCAGTCCCCTGGACACTGTCAGTTGATTTCAGCATGCAGAGACTCAAGCAGAGATGCAGGTGGGCAGCGACATAGGTTGGGACCCTAGCAGAGAGACATGAAGAAGGAGGAAACTCCAGCAGGCACTCAGGTAGGCCATGCACGTCTGACTGTCTAGCCAGAAGAGTGCCCATGGGATGGGAAACAACCGGGGAACACAAATGGCAAGGTATAAGTCCTGGATGTGACTGCTCTTCTCGAGAGCCGCAGACGTCGTGTGGCCAACACCTGCTAAGGTTTTCATTCCTCGATTTAACAGACATCGTAAGCTAATGCAGTTTCACTTATGTTGCTGGGTTTAGGAGCCAAAACAGAACGCGAAGGGGCAGGCACCTCGTTCCCAGGGATGTTCACCAGATTTGCCGCTGCTGTGGCACCAATAGCCAAGTCGCGGATGAAAAGCACGTGTTGCTGAACTCTCAGCTTATAATGATAATCGCGCAGTAGAAGGATTCGATCAATTACAGAGCATGGTGGAGGCCAGCCCGTCTGGCGAGGATGTTGGAACGTATGTGGCCTCATCGCAACTCAGTTGTGCCCTTTGGGCGCTAGTTTTCTCTTCTCTTGCTAGTACGGTATTTATTTTTCGTGGCTTTTCTGTGTTCAAGTCTTGCCCTTGGGCCTTCGGCGTGTATAGGTAGTTCTAGGCGTATGGGGTCAAGCACCCCCAGCCATGTAACACACATGCAAGGTAGGCCTGCAGGCGCCAACTCGGTGGGAATGAGACTCCTTTGACGGGGTTCGCGGCCGTGCCTGAGACCTCAAACAAACGATGATTTTTACACAGCATGATTGGTTGAGCATGATTGATTGGACCAACTCTTCGGGACGTTCGAGTACCCAAAGCAGAAAGTGTAACACCAGGCGAAGGCATGTCGCCACATCATCAGGCGAACCGTCCATCGGAAACAGCCAAACAAACGTTTTCCCACATCTTCATGCACGACGACGACAACGACGATGATGGCGACGGAGCGTGTTGGCTCGTTTGCAAAAGAAATTACAAAGGCTTCACAGGTTTACTGACTGCCGGTGCCTCCATCCTACTGACCGCAGCAAATACCGTGTGGCAACAATCATGATACGATGTACTCTGTAGCTGCAGCTGCCAATAATAATGACTGCCTAGACGTGCACCTCAGACGATAAAATGCGCGCTTGGAGCCAGGAAGGAATATTAAGGGCCAAGGCGACACCGTAATAATGCTTGGGTTGCATGTATCATCACGTGTTTCAAGTCTAGTGTTGTATGTGTCCGCCATTTCATAAAAGAACTCCAAGAGAAGTTGCGGGTGGCACACACAGACCAGAAATACTATCGTTGAGACATCAATCCAGGACACGACACAGTTGTCAGCCCAACGCTGATGGCCCACGCGGCACACACGTACACAGCCGCCACCAAAAAGAAGTAATAAGAGGGTTCGCGGTGAGTAACCCAGATGATGACACAGACGTCCGTCCTCCAGTCCGCACACATATGTGTGTTTTCGGTGTAATATCACATACACGTCAGACAACCGCGTGTCCAACCGCGTGCATGAAGATTCAAAGCAACTTTAATTTCCCTGACCAACTTTCCAACCAAATCACCTTGTTCACCAATTCATGCATCTACGGTTCAGTCTGCATTTAAGTGCAAGCAAGAGATGATGCTGGCGCTGATTTAAATCCATCCAGTCTAGTTTACGCTGACCAGGTTCAGCTTCTGTCCGGTGGTGGGCAGAGCCGTGCCCTTGTTGTCCGCAGCCTGCACCCCGTCGGGGGTATCGGTGTTGACCACGTTGAGCGTTTTGCCGTTGGCCAGCTTGACCTGCGCAACCTTGATGTACGCAGACGCCTCAGTGGGCATGAAGCTCAAGCCTTGCGCGCTCAGCTTGCCGCTCACAGTGATCCACTGCTCCGTACGCTGTTCCAAAGCCTGGGCAACGTCCTTGGCCTGCTTGTCGTAGTGTGCATTGGCGTTGCGCGTCTTTTCAACCTCCGTCTTGTCATATGAGGCGCCCAGGTGCACACCGAACCAGCTGAGGACAGGTACGTTGAAGCCACCATCGTAGTGCTGCTTCGCTTCCTTGTAGGTGGATTTCTCGTCCTCGCTCATGTTTTGGACCAGCTTGGATTCCATGTCCGAAATCTGGCCACAGGTCACGGCCCGCATAGTCATCGTGAACGTCAACTCGGCCCATGCACCCTTCTGAACTATGACACCCGCGGAACCCGTGGTTGCATAACCGGTCTGGAAATCCTTCACCACGCCCTGCATCTCCTCGCTTGCGGTAAGGGGAAGAGACAGCAGGCGCAGCTTCTGGCCGACAATACCCCCCATGTAGTACTTGCTTGTCCTGCCGTCTCCGGCCCCGGCAGGTTCAACTGTCCGGGTGGGGTCGACCACCAAGCCCGAATGCTTGCTAGGCACGCACACCGCTGCGGGGAAGCATATGCAGTAGTAGGCAGGGACATTAGGCTGGGGAACAACAGGCATGCATGTGCGTTGTGTTGGCCATATAAAATTATTGCTTTTTACGTGTTTACGTTTTTGGCAGCTGTAGATGCTACGACACACAAGCCTTGGAGCCAAAAGTTAGGTATACACACACCCCGCGCATCACGTGAACACCTTGCGTGGCCGCCGCCAGCAGACGACACGCATTTATCATTCAGAGGAATCAAACTGATGCGCTTTGCATCTTGTGTAAGTGATACTAGCAATTTACATCTGTACTTACGCTTCTCCACCACAAGCCCGAGCTTCTTGAGCAGCTCGATGGTCGCGCCATTCTCCTCCATCTTCGTGATGGTCCACCCATCCGAGCGCTCGTGATAGTCGTACGGCAGGTAGCCGTACCCTGCGTCACCCCAGCTCGCGCCCCAGGAGTTGCGGAACTTGAATCGCTTCTTGGCATCATCGTAGCCCACAAACAAGACGCAATGGCCACCGATGCGGTCACCCTTGGGCGTCTTAATGACGCCAGTGGACTGTACATCGTCGTCGTACAAATTCTCATAGCATGTAAAACCCGCCACGACAGGCATGCCGGCGGCGATGGCGACCTTCATAGAGCGGGTGTCTGTGCCTACACGTGCGCTCCTCAAGACCTGGAAGTCAAGGGCTTTTTCGAAGGCGGCCTGCGAGGGCTCCTCGCTAAACGGGACATTGCCCCGAGTGCCGTACGGGCACAGCTCCTGCACATTTACACAGGTACGTGCTTCGTCAACACAATTGATTAAGAACAGCCGAACGCAATTGCCTGGCATCCAGCCGGCAATTTATCATTTGCAAACAATTTTGTCATCAATTGCCATCCATTTTAGATGAATTGTGACGCACCCACGCATCGGCTATCGTGCACATCTGCCCATAGAATTGGTTGCGTAGTTTCATGTAAAAGGGCCGCAAGCACACATAACCCTGCATGTAAGCACGCGCAGGACCGCGTGCGGTGACCACCCACCTCAGGCGCAGCACCAAATTCTTTCAGGGCCGCCATAGCCGATGAGGTGTAGGTACCCGTGTCCTCATCGGGGCTGTTGTGGTCGATCGCAACGCGTGCACAGTAATACACGAACCTCGGTGACAGCTCTATGGGGATGATACGGTGGGTGCGCACCACGTAGTCCATGGCCGCTGTGGAGGCGAAGGCCACACAGGCGCCCACGTCATACTGGTTACGTTTCACGGGCCAGTTCTGGGCGAGGTCCTTGGAGGGAGGCAGCGGTTCGGTAGGTCCAGCAGCAAGCTTCAGCTTGGGATACTCCGCCAGCTGATGTTCCGGCTGGGGCTTGAAGTTAAGCTTGAACTGGCGGACTGACATCTTGCTTGATTAATTGCTTGAATGTAGCCTGTTCGTCTTTCTGTTGTCGTCGACAACAGCAGTTGAAGCGGTACAAGTTGTACTCAACGCAATCAGGGCCTGGGATTCAGAAGCAGAACACTTTGCTTAGGTTTATGCTTTAACTTGCAGCTGCTTATATATGGGGAGAGCGCCCGCCAAGCTGTCAGAAATCGTACCTTTGCTGCCTGGCATGAGCTCGAAGTTTCGTTTGTTAACTAACCCGTTTTGGATGGCCGACCAGTTTTTGTCGTATTTGACCTTCAGAGAGCCCAACGTACTCCGCATCCTCTACGCATGTATGTAAAAAGTCAAAGTCAATTCGGCGTTACTGCGCAGGCAAGTAGTAGCATGTAGTAATCGACAAGCGCACAACAGAAGTAATACCATGCACGGGACGGCATGCGGCCTCAAAGGGATCGCCGCCCACCTACCGCGCCGATGTGTCGCTTTTACTTCCAGTTGGCTTCATTCTTGCGTAAAGCACTTAACTTCAGTCCACTTACCCAGAAATATTTCCCGCTCTCTCCGCTTCCGTCGGTGTTCCTGCAATTCGGCGGGCTTTTCGTTGGAACATGGACACCTACATGCATGCGCAACTTCATTAATGCGTTTATGTGTTTTATGTATACATATATTTCTGTGTGAAACATAAATACTTCGGAAATGCGAACAAAAGTGCTGCTATTGACTGCATATGACGTATGACATTGTATGATCCTGTGCTAAGCGACCGGCGGATCACTGCTCCGTCGCTCGGCTGTATCCTGACGCGATTAGTATATAAATTACTACAAAAAAGAGCACGAAACTGAATAAGCGGTTACGTGCTATTGCATTGAATTACACAGGACAGATAGGCTGCTAGCGGGCTGCGCTGGTTGGCTTATTACGGCTTATTTGCAATCCTGTGACGATAATGCGTATGTGTGTAGCAGGCCGCAAGGAAGGCAGCGGTAGTTGCTGTTAAACAGGTCTGCCTTGTTAAGGGAACTGGTGAGGGAACTGCAAGCAATCGTTGTGTGAGTTTATTTTGGAATACATTCATTCCAAGAAAAAAAAGCTTGATCCGCGGACCTACCTAGGTATATATAGATATATCTGGTGGATACTAAAGCCGGCAAGCTATAAAATCTGAATCGCAAATGTGTGGACCTGATATATGCATTAGCCTTGACTGGCTTCATTACATTTTCAAAAAGTACATAAATTTATTTCTCATATCGTGTATGCGCCATTGCTTTGGGCTGGGACAGAACGATTCTGCTGCCTCCCTGTGCCGACTGTGCCGAGGTCATTAATTCGTAACATTCCGACCTGATTAATGCATTTCGTTGAATGCGTTGCATGCATGCTGAAAATATAATTTTTTTTCTATCTGAAAAACCCTAATTACACCACAACGGATCCATTTGAAACCAAGATGTGTGTGTGGTGGTGTGTGGTGGTGTGTGGTGGTGTGTGGTGGTGTGTGGTGGTGTGTGGTTGTTACAGTGGGCTCCAGACTCAAGAAGATGTGCACGGTGGCAACACCACCCACTCCTCATTCACGCACGTCAGGAGGTCAGCAGTGCGTGGCTATAGGGTTACCAGGCGACTTCTATCTCCCGATTCATCCATCCCATACAATTACTATGATCCATCAGATACTTCAGAGCCCATCGATTCATGGATTGGCGGTTCTGTTAGTCTGCATTTAAGCGCAAGCAGAAGATGACGCCGGCGCTGATCTAAATCCATCCAGCCTAATTTACGCTGATCAGGTTCAGCTTCTGTCCGGTGGTGGGCAGAGCCGTGCCCCTGTTGTCCGCAGCCTGCACCCCGTCGGGGGTATCGGTGTTGACCACGTTGAGCGATTTGCCGTTGGCCAGCTTGAGCTGCGCAACCTTGATGTACGCAGACGCCTCGGTGGGCATAAAGCCCACGCCTTGCACACTCAGCTTGCCGCTCACAGTGATCGACTGCTCCGTACGCTGTTCCAACGCTTGGGCAATGTCCTTAGCCTGCTTGTCGTAGTTTGAATTGGCGTTGCGCATCTTCTCAACCTCCGTCTTGTCATATCCGGCATTCATGTGCACACCGAACCAGCTGAGGACAGGTACGTTGAAGCCACCATCGTAGTGCTGCTTCGCTTCCTTGTAGGTGGATTTCTCGTCCTCGCTCATGTTTTCGAGCAGCTTGGATTCCATTTCCAAAATGTGGGCACAGGTCACGGCCCGCATAGTCATCGTGAACGTCAACTCGGCCCATGCACCCTTCTGGACTCTGATACCCACAGAGATGGTGTTTGTGTAACCGGTCTGGCAATCCTTCACCACGCCCTGCACCTCCTCACTTGCGGTAAGGGAAAGAGACAACAGGCGCAGCTTCTGTCCGACAATAGCCCCCATGTAGTACTTGCTTGTCGACTGGCTGCACGTGTCGTTGCCGCCTCCGGCAGGTGCAACTGGCCGTGTGGGGTCGACCACCAAGCCCGAATGCTTGCTAGGCACGCACACCTCTGTGGGGCGCATATGCAGATGGTGTAAGATTGTTATATCACGGCATTTTCGGAAGGTTATCTAACCCCTTTGGCTCCCCGAAGGGCGAAAGATCCGATCATGGGATGCAGATCCCGTGACAAACCCAGGATATTACAGTTTCCCCCCTCTACAGAACGATGTCCTAGATCTTTTATCTCTCAAGTTCCCTGTGGGATGACAGCTTGCGCAGGATCTATAATTGCCGCCTCCCGGGTGCTACCTCCTCCGGCATAGATACCGAACCGATTTTTTTATCCGAACGGTGGATGCAAATGTCTTTTTGATACACCACCAGGATAGTGCAAAGATAGCGACATGAGACCGCAGAGCAGCGGGCATATGCCACCAGCAGCCATTTGGTGTAGTGCGTTTTTTTCAATCCGCAACACGTAATTCCTTAGCCACCGTTCAGGTAACCAATTTGTGCACGATCCGCGTGCGTTTGGAAGCGTTCATGTCCTACATGAGCTAGTTGTTTAGTTAAGAGTGTGTGTGTGTGTATACGTTACTTCTCTGGCGTATACAGTACTGATAGTCATCGCCAAACGGGCAGTGCAGGCATTCTATTACAACAGTGATACTAATCATGGTACAGCTCCATGCATACTTACGCTTCTCCACCACAAGCCCGAGCTTCGCGGCCTCCTTACGCTTGAGCAACTCGACGGTTGCGCCATTATCTTCCACCACCGCAATGGCCCAGCCGTCCGAGCGCTCGGCAAAGTCGTACGGCAGGTAGCCGTACCCTTCGTGCCCCCAGCTCGGGCCCCAGGAGTTGCGGAACTTGAATAGCTTCTTGGCATCATCGTAGCCCACAAACAAGACGCAATGGCCACCGATGCGGTCACCCTTGGGCGTCTTAATGACGCCAGTGGACTGTACATCCTCGTCGTACAAATTCTCGTAGCATGTAAATCCCGCAACGACGGGCATGCCGGCGGCGATGGCGACCTTCATAGAGCGGATATCTGTGCCTACACGAATGGCGCGAAGGACCTGGATATCAAGGCCCGCAAGGAAGGCGGCCTGCGAGGGCTCCTCGCTGTTCTGAACATGGCCGCCACAAGTGCCGTACCGGCACAGCTCCTGCACACGGACACGGACACGGGTACACAAACACCCGTTGCTGCACCGATATGACCTCTCTAATATACTTGAATGAAGGCAATGCCTTTGCGTGCCTGACAACTAGTGGTTTAGAGCTAGCTTATTATGCATACCACCAAAAAGGACTGAGCCAAGCAAAAGTATTATCCAGTAGCAGTGATTTTATTTGGATATGCACACACATTGGTTATTATTTATGCCGACCCGCGCATAGTTGCATGTAAATGGGCAACAAGCACACATAACCCTGCATGCAAGCACGTGCAGGACTTAGTGCGATGACCACCCACCTCAGGCGCAGCACCAAATTTTTTCAGGGCCGCCATAGCCGATGAGGTGTAGGTACCCGTGTCCTCATCGGGGGTGTTGTGGTCGATCGCAACGCGTGCACAGTAATACACGAACCTCGGTGACAGCTCTATGGGGATGATACGGTGGGTGCGCACCACGTACTCCATGGCCGCTGTGGAGGCGAAGGCCACACAGGCGCCCACGTCATACTGGTTACGTTTCACGGGCCAGTCCTGGGCGAGGTCCTTGGAGGGAGGCAGCAGTGTCTCCGAGGGCAGGTCCGCAGTGATGAGTTTCAGCCGAGGATACTGCGCCAGCTCGGCCTCAGGTTGGGGCTTCCAGTTGAGCTTGAACTGCCGGACGTCCATGCTGCTGGTATGAGCATTAGTGGGAGCCTCTCTCTTGTCGCCGTTTGTTGCAGCTGCTAATACATGCACCCCTACATATGCAGCGGCAAGCCGTGCGTGGCAGAGCGTCTCTTCCTTTAATTATAAGCACGTATAATTTGCACGTATGTACATGCATGCACATGCATGTATGCATACTTTATGTACATATGTACATAATCTATATAGGGTTAGTTGTATATTGGATCGTGCACGTCTTCTAGCAAATTCCTCCTGCACCAGGCATGTACAACCCGACTGCCAGGATCGGAGGAATTAGTGTTCCTTATTTGCCCAGCAGCGAAAGGCTACACAACCTCTATTGAGTACCCGACTCCGCTAGACCCCGCTAGACCCCCTCCCGTCTTGCGGTTATTATTGCTATCCACCATTTCCTAGATTTCTTCCCCCCCTCACTGCCCATTGCAACAATTTTCTCTCCGGTTACTTGCTGGATGGTGCTAGCTAGTAGATGATAGCTGACTGTTTGTATTTCGGTTGACCCGCAAGGAACATGCGTTGACTGACGGCGATAAAATGTGCCGTACGTGCGTGTGTACGTGAAAAAGCAATTGGTTCTTAATAAATTTATATAAGTTGTCCCGAATGTTATGTAGCTGGGTTTCCCTGCTGTTGCACCCAGCTGCGGAATGCCGTGCCGCCACGGCACCGGGTAGCTAGCTAGCCTAGCGCTAGGCTTTGCCTGCTGACTTCCCGGGGATACGTTCCAGCTGCTGCGCCGTGCTGGCCAGCGCGCGCAGCTGCTACACCTCACCTGGCTTATCCCTATGATAGATCCGCCCTGCGTCGGTCTCGGCTGGCATGCACCCAGCCAAAGAGAAACAAGGTTTCCACCACGTTTGCTTGTTTCCTGCCGGCGCCATGCAGCACGCTCTAAAATGTTTACAAAGCACATTACTGGGAAAAGTGGCTTGTCCATGCCATTTTTGTTATTGCTTTCTTAAGATTACAATATGTAAGATCTTAAGCTTTTGCTGTTCCTAAGCTTCTTTCCTTGTATGTATTTTACAATAATGTAGTTTGCTTGTTTGTCCGTTCCTCGCGCAATTAAGGTAGCACATGTCATTCCTGGTTGCATTCCTGGTTGCGAGAACCGCCGGTTAGTACAAGCTGAACATATCGTAATCCGCTGACCGCGCACAGAATGCTATGGAGCGAGCCTAATTGACAGCAAATGTTACCTAAATAGCTTATTAGCTAGGTTCCTGCCTGCTGGCCTGCTGCATGCCTCCGCCACGAGCTGAACGAGTACCATCCGCCCGACTTCCATCCACTCGATCGACGTCGCCTCACCAACCGTCAACCAACCAAATAGTTCATCGCTCCACTCTTGCCGCTGCTGATGCATGTAAAAATGCACTCCTGTACAAACCATGGCGCCACACGGCGCAGAGAAAAGAAACTACAGCTGCAACCGCCGACTGCCGATGCTTTATTCGGCGTGCTTTCATTCGGCACGGTCCGTTCGGCTTTCAGTGTGGGCGGGGTGAGAGAGGTCGCGTTTACACGTAATAACAAACAAGTTTAAGTCATGCACGCATGTTTATTGGTTGCTAATGGTTCATACGAAGAGTTCATGAAGTAGATTGAAGAGCGTACGTTTAACGTAGTAGGTTCGTTCCACGAGTGATGCATGCCACATGTTGCTGCTGCTGCTGCGTTGCTGTCATCGTCATGGGTGATAATGTATGATGAGCTGCTCGCTGTTGTTGGCGAAATGCTATGCACAAAATCAATAATCTGCTGCCCTCAAGTACGCATACATGCATCACAGCAAGTAAGATTAGTTGACTCACATGCAGGACCGGGAAGTAATAATGAAGATACCGTATTCGCGATTTATCAGCTTTGGCTAGGGGCGGGGACGCGCTCGGTTACGAGGGTTATGCCGCTCGTATGGCAGCCTGCCTGCCTTTTGTTTTGTGGCTATTAAGGCTTTACACGTCATCGTTCGTTGCTTGCAAGCATTTGATGATTTCATTTGCTCGATTCGTAAGCAAGATAGAGCTGGCGGATGACACGCGGCAACATGACACCAGATGACACGCAACCATGACGACATCGCACGCCGATGCATGCGATGTCATGAATTATGTGAACGAAACTCTGCCCTGCTTGCTTCTAATAACTGTCCGTGAGTTGCGAATCCCTCTTGCTTCCGAATGCGGATTTTGTAGCTTCTGGCCTGTTGCCTGATGCTAACGAAGCCTTGTCCGGCTTCCGGCAGCCTTACACAGGAAGACACTGTCCGCTGCCCGTTAGCTTCTCTCTACTTTCTTCTGGTCGTCACTGTTGGAACATGGACCGCTAAACATGGCCGCGTACGTACGTGTGATAGCGGCTGCTACATTGTTGGAAAGTTGTGGACAGCAACGGTGGATGGATGGTAATGAATCAGACATTTATCCGCTTGAAGCAGCGGGAAGAGCGAGCTGCGTCGGCTAAGATCGTTTTGTTTCATTCAAAGGATGAACCGCTTTAACCGCTTGAAGGATGAACCCTTGATGCACAACATACATACAGCAGTATGTGGGGGAGGCAGGCAGGCAGGTCATCAAGTGTGCAGGCAGGCAGGCAGGCAGGCAGGCAGGCAGGTCATCACGCCTTGGCTTGGCGGAGTTCCGTCGTTCGTTAACCTTACACTTACGGACACGGGCTCCCGCGCGTGGAGCTGCATGCACACTTTCATTCCTGGCCTTTCCAAAACAAATGCTGTACGCCCGCCAATTCCCGTAAGGCCCACCTCGCCTTACGTGGTGGGCGGTGGTATAAATTGCCGGAAGTCGTCTACATGCTGTCATCGTTACCTCTCATTTTATACAGCCGGCGGCACCGGCACTTAAAACTCCATTGTTACGTGTGCATCCACCGCTGCTTCGTGCTTGCCCTTGTAACCGCAGCAATATGCGGTCTTACGTTAACCTCCTGCTGGCGCTGTGCGCCATCGCCATGAGCGCCACTTTCACAGCTGCTGCAGGTAATAATAATAATAAACAAAGTTGCTTGCAGCAGGTGTACACGCGTCAGACTTATAATCCGCTTCAACCGTTGGTCGTACCACTTGTATGTTGCATTAATGACGCCTGACGGTCTAAACAAAAAGCGGGCAAGAGTTCCACGACGGCATGTACAATCGAGACGCGCACATGTGTAGCTAGCACACCTGATGATATCTGTTTACTTGCGTGGCGGGGATGTGCATGCTTGTATGTTTGTGTGACGATCTCACCAAGCTAACTGCGGTGCCGTGTGCGTCTGTATGTCGGATCGACGTGTGTGTGATACATACATACTACCTCATGCTCCTTGTACGCAGGTGATACACATGTGCAACTTCAGGAGTCGGGTGTTGCCACTATTACAACGACCACAACAGTTGTGATGCATAAGCCCCACGAGCCATCGGCGGCGAACAAGTTTGCGGCGGTTGACGGCCATAACGGCTCCCAACCGCTTGGGGGCATGTTCGACTGCGCAAAGCTCGCTTTCAAATGCGGGAAGGCCGCTTATCAGGCATACAAGACGCACGACAAAAGCGCATTACTTCAATGCGCTTCCGTTTCTTCTCTTTGTGACTGCGTTAGTGCTTTTTACAAGTACTCCCCTTCAGTAGCAGACTTCATGAAGAAGTACATCTGCCCGGGGCCCAGCATGTTGCAGTCAGCACCAGGTGCGAAGGCAATATGTATACATAATCAATCCACAAAGCAAGAATACCTTCATAAACAGGCAGCGTCATGCATGCATATTGTTGTATCCTGTACCCAGGATACTACACATATAGCAATTAGGTGTATTCCTCCTGTGTCTGGTGCCCCTATGGCATAAAACGAGGGGTAACCCATGGGTTACCGACCCAATCAGTGCCTTACGGGTGTGTAGTAGTACCAACAGCAGTAGCTGTTTATTGCCAGGTTCATAGGTAGAAAGCTTCGGGTGGCGTTCCTGCTGCTGCGTGTATGATGAGTGCCGGCATGTGCACATATAGCATGCATGCGCCATACATGCATGCCTAACGTGCATCTCTCATCACACATCCTACATACTTTCGTGACAAATAGATCTAAGGACTAGCTATTGCATGCATGAACAGATAGATAGACCTGGGGGTCGTTCAATCCGTCGGCCATCCTATCCATTGTATCCATGCAGAAGCGTACCTCGCACGCATGTGACGATTATCTGACCGCCCCTCAGACATACTGGCAATGTGCGTGTGGCGGTGCATTCGCCGGATAAGCTTGTTAGATGTCATTGGGGGCCATCAATGCAACCACCATGCGCACTCTTGAGTAAGCGATTCTGCGCAGAATCTATTCACTGCCATTCATCTCACGCACCCTCCCGCTCCCTCACTCCTGTGTACGCTTTTTGATGACGCCGAACGAACGCTGTCGGTGAGCGCAGCAGCAGGCGGCTGTCCTGCTGGCTACGACCGGATCCCAGCCGATGGACAGTGGTGCTACTCTCGTCACTGCCCCCCCACCTATAGCCTTATTGAGTCTACGAGCGAGGACGAGCAGAAACGGTGCTATCGTGACTGCGATCTGGGCTGGGAAGACCGTGGCACGACGTGCTACGTGAGCGCACATATGTACAAGAAGGACTGCTGTTGCTTGCATGGCTGCTGCGGCTGCAACAACACCTACACGGATTCTGGGTGCGAGTGCTGGAGGGCCAAGGATGAGAAGCAGAAGGAATTTGTAATTCGCCCCAGTGTCTTGGCGGACATTTAGGCCGATCGATGGATGGACTGGATGGGATGACCCGTGGCAAGCAAGCATAAGTGACTTGGCTGTGTCTCATTCAGTTTCTCGATCGAATAGGCATGTCGTTAGTCTTGCCGCCGGCGGCGCTGTTATGCGTGCGTTAGTTCCAGCCGTTGCTACTTACTTTGCTGCGGTTGGTGTTTGTTGCGCACCCGGCGCACTTTAGCGGTGTTCACTGGTGAAGCTAAACCCGGTTGCCCCGGCCATCATTGTACGGCGTTGGCTTGGTACGTAGGGCCCGCGTTCTCAGTTGTCGAGGGCTGTGATCCTACTTGTTCCGTTGGTAATCTAGGCTGCTTCAGACCTGCTGGCATCGTCAGCCATCGGTGTAAATAAACTGGTGTAACCAAGCAAATAAGCTTGGCATCCGTCTGGACAGCAGTTGATTATTTAACCCTCATGTAGCAACGTTCCCTGAGCGCATTTTCCACAACCATCCCTACAGCTTGGCCTTTGCCGAGTAACCGTGTTTGTATATTAGCTTTCAGACAGCTGAACAGTAGCTGAAAACCATCTTCGTTTGCTGTGTCCCCGTGGCAGCGAGGAGCGGCCCAAAAGATCGAAAGGGTTAGCATTGCGAGAGGGGAAGGGGACGGTGGCTTCGACAGGGTCATCCGTGGGGGCCAGCTTGGCGCCCTCAGTGGGCGCCAGAGCGAGGCAGCTGCAACGTACAGAGCCTATGCTGGGTCAGGCTGAATTGGACGGCTGTTCGTTTTCACACGACAGCGAAGTCTCAACTTAGCTTCTGTTAAACACCGCAGCACCTTCGTTACAGAGCAAATGTGACTCCGGATTTATACGCAGTATTTCTCCAAAACGATTTTTCTTCTCCCGTGCTGTATGGCTGGACCGTTAGGTGCTTGCATCTTTGTTCCCCGCTATTCCTCATCATGCCGCTGCGCGGGCTCAATGGCCAGGGCAAGCCAAGGCGTCTTGGTGTTTGCTATAGTTGCATGGCCCGCGTCTGGTGGAATTGTGTTGGCTTCGTAATGGTTGACATGTGCAGCTAGCATCTTGCGCGTGGCTCGGCGCGCGCCCCAACCATCACTGCTATCAGACGCGCCGCTCGAATGGTGTCGCGCTATCTATTTCGCGCTATGTAAGAATCAAGCAAGTGTAACGTCCGCTGAAAATACCAAAATAGTTAGATGGGAATCGTCATGAGCACCGGTGGGCGCTATGTGCGACCCCCCGACATATTATTTTTTCGTACGTACGAAAGCGTCAGGTAGTTGGAAGTACAAAAGGCCACAAACGCAGTTTCTGTATCGCAGAGGCGTGCTACGCATGCGCAGTCGACCTCAATAGAGCATGATAACGTGATGCCTTGCAATGGTTCATGGACGCCAATTCGATGGTGCCAAGTAAAGTGTGGTGGGCGGCCTAACTAATTAGCACGAGCACCTGCTGCCCCACAACTGCGCTCTCGCTCGTTTTCTTGCTAATATTACAAACGTTAACAAACTATCATGCTTTAATAGCAATGTTCCCTATTCGCTGAACATGCGCACACCGACACCTTAAATGCACAAATGCTTCCTACAACCTGGTCCGAAACGACATTTCGTCTGCATATTGAACTTACGTATCCAGAAGATACATGATGGTTATTATAACAGCATACATAATGCACAGTAATGGGAAAATAAAAAGTTAGCTTTCAAAGGTCAGAAATTACTAGAGCGTCATAAGCCGCATGATGAAATGCTGTCAGGAGGTCTGCCCGAATAAAAACAACAAAGGACAGGCGTTGTCGGAACACATCCAGAAGATTTCCGCCAAACTCCTGCAAGGCAGGTGCCGAGCGACTTCCACTACACGAGCGGGTTGTGCTGCTGCGCGCCTCTCGACCTGCAAGCACACGACATGTGCACAGCTTCACTACTGTAAGTAGTAAAGGTTAGTATGTGGTAGGACTTTCGTTCTATTATGAAGTTATTCGCTAGTTAGTTATTTAGTTAGTTTTTGATAAGATGAGTCCCCCATTCTTATTTACTTATTATATCTATTAGCAGGAAGAAGATGAAACTGTAATGCATGGTTCATCACATACAGTTGAGCAGGGGACGGATTGCTGTTCACGCACCCGCGCCCGCACCCGGGCGGGTCGACGGGCTCCATATCCAGCAGACTGCCCTCTTTCATAGTGCCAAGCGTACACATCGCATCATGTGCATTTGGTGACGTTTTTGGCTCCTAATTTTCCAGTGTTTTTCAGAAGTTTCATGTGCATGCATGCACAACGGCGCGCAGCGCGGTGCATGCATGATTGCTTGCATGGTCTGATGGCTTGGTTTATTGCATGAAGACGCCCAATATTAGATACTGCTCAATCAACAAGGAGCTGGGCGATAGAGCACGACCCTAGCAGCGCCAATAATCCTGCCTGTCGTTTCATTTGGACTAGGGGGAATAATCCTTCATGTATGCATGGGTTGCCCTTAATAATACTACTGCGTCGTATGCATGTCGCTCGTCATCATGCATTTTATCACTGCATACATATAACGGTCTTACTTTTCATGTTGCACCGTTGACTTTCTTCCCTCATCCGCATGACACCAAATTCAACACTGCGACATGTTCTGCTGGGCACATGGGCTTCCTTGTTTGAATGCGTGCTTCAGCTAATACTGTGCACCATTACCGTGCGGCAGCAGCAGCAGCAGGCAGCAGGGTACCGCCATTCGTAACCTCTGACATGTAATTGAAGCTTTTGTTGATTGGCCATAACTTCCATCTGCTGCTGATGTTCCTTCTCATGAATTAGCAGCAGCAGCAGCAGCAGCAGCAGCAGCAGCATGGGTTGGTATAGTGTTGGCCAGCTGCGGATGCCGCCGGTGGTGTTATTCATCGCATTCGCCATGATGAGCGTTACAACAGTAACGGCGACAGGTAATACAGTTCCCTTCCTTCTGGTTCTTGCTTATGTTGAAAGACCGCCTTAAGCATGAAGCAAAACAGCCCACTTAGCACACGCACGATGTACTGCATACGTACATATGGGCCTTGTTTTATACTGCTGCTGCGTGACCACGGCATCAACACTTACAGCGCCCGCCTACCAGCTGGGTGCTGCAAACACGCATGCAGGGAAAACTGTACATCGGCAGTACGAGTCGGACTTCGCAACAGTTACTGTGACGGTTGTCACGCATAGTTCTCAGCAAGACCCCGCCGCTGATGGCGATGATGATGATGTTGTGCACCAGTTGACCGCAGAGGCAACAGCAGCACGCCAACGGCACTTTTTGCCATCGGAGTACTCAGCGGTTGCTAGTGGAGACGACGGCAGTGGCGGGGGCTACGACTGGGACTTCCATCGGTGCTTCTCTTTGGCGCTCGAGTGCGACCCTGCAGGAACACACCTACCTCCAGCAGTGAGGAATTGCCCTTGGGATGAGATCTGTAACCATTGTGCGTATACTACTTTCCCGGCACCTTTTTCAAGCACCATCAAGGCTTTTTGCGCCGAGTACATCACCAGAGATAGTCCGAACCCGGGACCATCTGCTGGTGGTAGTGGTAATAGTGATGCCTCCGCTGCTGTGGAAGGTACGCTTGGCGTGTGTGTTTGTGTTTGTGTGTGTTTGTGTTTGTGTGTGCTTGTGCTTGTGTGTGTGCGTGTGTGTGTGCGTGTGTGCGCGCGCGTGTGTGTGCGTGTGTGCATGTGTGCATGTGTGCATGTGTGCATGTGTGCATGTGTGCATGTGTGCATGTGTGCATGTGTGCATGTGTGCATGTGTGCATGTGTGCATGTGTGCATGTGTGCATGTGTGCAAGTGTGCATGTGTGCATGTGTGCATGTGTGCATGTGTGCATGTGTGCATGTGTGCATGTGTGCATGTGTGCATGTGTGCATGTGTGCATGTGTGCATGTGTGCATGTGTGCATGTGTGCATGTGTGCATGTGTGCATGTGTGCATGTGTGCATGTGTGCATGTGTGCATGTGTGCATGTGTGCATGTGTGCATGTGTGCATGTGTGCGTGTGTGCGTAGCTACTTGCATATACAGCTGGTTGATATTTTCCTCGTTGGCGGCTAGCTAGCAGCGCATGTAACTGCTCAAACCACTCAAGCCAATCAACCAAGGAGAGGAACCTGTAAGGAGGGTTCAGCACCCTTGGCATCTCATTGAGTACTCTTTGCCTGTGGTGCGAATTGCTAGGAGGTGGGAACTCCTCGTTTCGAATCCGGTTGCGAACATATCGCGCTCCAGGCACAATGCAGCATACTTCTCTCCCAACGGGGATGCCCGGGTGAGTGAGAAGTTTACCAGCTGAAGAAGTTTACCATCTTAGACGGGAACTGACGACAGGTCATAATAATAATGAAACTCACAATCCTACTGGATCTCAAACAACCATAATCCTAACGGATATGCCCGGGGACGCCCGAGGACGTTGCCTCGAGGCCCTTGGCATCTCCCTGAGCACTCTTTGCCTGGCGTCGCAGAACGTATAGACAAATCTGTAATAGGATTTCTATTTTCAATAGTTTGACGACTTCACGAACCAACCCCACGCCACATATACATACATGCTATGCAGAGAACAATAATGTAATAAGCGACGGCGGCAACGGTGTTAGCCAAAGCATGGATCATCTTGAAGGTGGCATATATATCGCCCCGGGTGGAGGCGGCGTGGTTGAGACAGCGGCCCAAGCTCACATTCCAGCAGATCCATGTCACTGGAAGGGCTTCGATTCATCAGTGGACTGTTGTGCAAGCACAGCTGCGACGACAGCACCATACGCCGCTAGCGCTGGTTCGGACGATGCTCCCTTTGCCATCAACCTGCATGATGGTGGTGATGATGATCGGACGACGATAGCGACTGTCATAGAAAGCAAGGACGACGACGGCCGCGGTGAGATGAGCCCACATGCACAAACAATAGCATTCTCTTACTTCATAGCCTTGCTTGACACAATTGCTTGCAAAGTGCCAACAGTGGAGTAGGTGTAGCAGCTGGCCGCTGAAAAGGCCTCTCGAGATGCTGGTGGTCGCACTCTGCGCGTATTTATAGCGCCGTACTGTGTACCGGCTGCTACAGTAGGTGACAAGCAGCTTGTTTGTGGAACAAACGACAATTGTGCTACTTGCAAATAACACAATTGTCCAGAACTATTATACGTTCAATACGCATGCATCTAGCGCGGGTTGTATCGTGGTACTGGCGGCAGCAGCAAGCAAGGAAGGCAATGCACCCAGTACCACTAGTGGTGCCGCATACACACTAGGTTAGGCACTACTGGTAAGGCACGACCATTGCCCCCGGGAGATCCCGGAGTCGAGACCTGTAATAGGTCGAAAATCCTGGAAGGATAAGTGCCCCTAGACGATGGACGGTGGTGACCTGGGAAATAGTTGACTCGCGAGCCGACCAGGAATGGAGTTGGGCCGTCGT